TACCTTTTTCTCATTGATTTCTTTACCTCTTGCATATCTTCAGGACTGAGAAATAGAATACCTCTTTTCTTCGGAGTAGGCTTAGGAGTTGGTTCAGGAAGAGACCAATCATTATCATTACTCAATATATTGTTCAATAGCAATTCAGCTTGCTCAACAATTCATTCCCTGAAAACACAACCAGCACAACTATCTAGGTGGTCCCTAGAAGCATCAATTAGTCCATTATAAAAGATATAAAGTATTTCATTTTTCTATAGAGGATGATCAGGCAAAGCATTAAGTAATTGGAGAAGCCTCCCCCAAGCTTGTGGGAGACTCTCTTCTTCAATTTGCACAAAGTTAAATATTTCCTTTAAAGCAGCTTGTTTCTTATGAGCAGGGAAGTATTTTTCAGAGAAGTAGTAAATCATATCCTGGGGACTACGCACACAACCAGGAGCAAGAGAATTGAACCATAACTTAGCATCACCGTTTAACAAGAAAGGAAACAACTTAATAATATAGTAATAGTGATTTTTTTCCTCATGAGCAAATAGGGTGGATATATCATTCAATTTAGTGAGATGTGCCCCAACAGTTTTAGATTCATAACCATGAAAATGATCAGATCCAACCAAAGTAATTAACTCAGGATCGATAGAGAAATCATAATCCTTCTCAGTAACAAAGATAGGCGAAGTAGCAAACTTAGGATCATATTGCATTCTAACATTCAAAGATTTTTCTTTCTAGTTGCATAATAACTTCTTAAAATCATCTCTATCCTTACAAGCAAGAAAGTCCCTAGCTACCTCTCCATCCATAACATAACCCTCAGGCATAACATGCAATTCATATCTAGGAGAGCTAGGTCTAACAGGTGTCTCAAAGTGTTCAGTTTCAATAATTTCATCATTTTCAGAAATATCATCATCTTCGACATAATCAACAGTTCTAACTTTAGCAAGATGTTCATCAAGTAATTCACCTAGTGGCACAGTTTTATCAAGAAAAGTAGTAGCATCATTCATAGCAGAAGTAGCAACATCAATAATGTGCGACATATCAGAATCAATAGCAGGTGTAGGTGTTGCAAGCTTACTCAAAACAGAAGGTGAATCAAGTGCAGAGATAGATGGCAGTTCCTTACCTCCCCTCGTAGTAGAGGGAAAAATCTTGGTTCTGGTATCTTTCAAATTCCTCATAGTGATCAACATATATAAATCCCAAGTGACTCAGAGAATAGAGGTATGCTCCCCGGCAATGGCGCCAGAAAAAGGTCTTGATAACCCACAAGTATAGGGGATCGCAACAGTTTTCGAGGGTAGAGTATTCAACCCAAATTTATTGATTCGGCACAAGGGGAGCCAAAGAATATTCTCAAGTATTAGCAGCTGAGTTGTCAATTCAACCACACCTGAAAGACTTAATATCTACAGCAAAGTATTTAGTAGCAAAGTAATATGGAAGTAACGGTAACGGTGGCAAAAGTAACAGTAGCAGTTTTGTAGTGATCGTAACAACAGTAGCAACTAAAGTAACTTAGCAAGGATCAATATGTGAAAAGCTCGTAGGCAATGGATCGGCAATGATAATTGTGTGGGATGATATTCATCATGTAGCAGTCATAACCTAGGGTGACACAGAACTAGCTCCAATTCATCAATATAATGTAGGCATGTATTCCGTATATAGTCATGCGTGCTTACGGAGAAGAACTTGCATGACATCTTTTGTCCTACCCTCCCGTGGCAGCGGGGTCCTAATGGAAACTAAGGGATATTAAGGCCTCCTTTTAATAGAGAACCGGACCAAAGCATTAGCACTTAGTGAATACATGAACTCCTCAAACTACGGGAATCACCGGAAAGAATCTCAATTATTGTCACCTTGGGGTATGCGGATCATAACTCGTAATAGATGTCTACAACTTGCAAGATAGGATAAAGAACACAAATATATTCATGAAAACATAATAGGTTCAGATCTGAAATCATGGCACTCGGGCCATAGTGACAAGCATTGAGCATAGCAAAGTCATAGCAACATCAATCTCAGAATATAGTGGATACTAGGGATCAAACCCTAACAAAACTAACTCGATTACATGATAAATCTCATCCAACCCATCACCGTCCGGCAAACCTACGATGGAATTACTCACGCATAGCGGTGAGCATCATGAAATTGGTGATGGAGGAATGTTGGTGATGATGATGACAACGAATCCCCCTCTCCGGAGCCCCGAATGGACTCCAGATCAGCCCTCCCGACGAAAAATAGGAGGCGGCGGCAGCTCCGTATCGTAAAATGCGATGAATCCTTCTCTCTGATTTTTTTTCTCTCCAGATGTGAATATATAGAGTTGGAGTTAGGGTCGGAGGAGGTCTAGGGGGCCCACAAGCCTCTAGGGCGCGTCCTAGGGGGGTGCCCCCCATGCTTGTGGCCAATGGGTGGACCCCCTCTGGTTGATTCTTTCGCCAATATTTTTTATATATATTCCAAAAATATTCTTCATGAATTTTTAGGTCATTTCGAGAACTTTTATTTGTACACAAAATAACACCACGGCAATTCTGCTGAAAACAGCGCCAGTCCGGGTTAGTTCCATTCAAATCATGCAAATTAGAGTCCAAAACAAGGGGAAAAGAGTCTGGAAAAATAGATATGATGGAGACGTATCAGCCACCACATGCCCGACCCGACACGCCTACAGGGGCCACTTTTGTTCCCTCGGCAATCTCTCCCACGATGGCATGTAGCACTCCCATCCCATCCCAACAGTGTGCAGATAAATCCACCCCCACAATTTATACTTGGTGCACACATGAGCAAAAACTGGATTTTTACAACACAAACAACTTTCTAACCTAAACATCGTCGTTTCTTCCCTTCTTCCTATAATTAAGGCATCTCTTAAGAATCCTAACTACTAAAATGCTTTGCTCGAGGAATATAATGCATTGTTATGGAATGACACTTGGTCTTTGATTGCTCATCCTATAAGTGTGAATGTCATGACAAGCAAATGGATCCACCACTACAAATTTCGAACCGAGACTTTAACGCGGTACAAGACTCGGTGGGTGTTACAGTTTTTACCCAACAGTCTGTCATCGACTACAGGGAGACATTTAGCCGAGTGGTCAAATACGCGATGATCCTCATCATGCTCGACATTCCTTAGCTCTTCTTGGCCTATCCATCAATGAGAAGCGCCTTCTTGCATGGACATTTGGCTGAGATCATGTACAACAACCAACCATTCGGCTTATTTGACTCCTTTCGTCCATCGCACCGTCTACTAATCACTTTATGGCCTACAACAAACCCCCGAGCATGGTTTCCTCGTTTCACCACCTACCTTGTGTCCATGAGGTCCATCACTTTGAAATCAGACTCCTCCCTCTTCATTTTATATTGAGATACATCTGTCGCCTACCTTCTTATCCACGTAGATGATATCATCCTCACGGCTAGCCACGTTCCCCTTCTCCTCAACATCATTGGCTCTCTCCAATGATTGTTTTCCATGTTCGGTTTATGGGGGCTCCATCACTTCCTGGGCATCAACATACCTCGAAATAGCAGAGACCTATTTTCTTTTTAACAAGAGCAATATGCTAGAAATCCTAGATCGTGGCGTCCACCTCAACGTCAATCCTATCACCACACCGATTGACACCAAATCCAAAGTTTTCGCGTTGAACAATGCTCCTTTTTCCAGTCCCACCCACCACTGTAGCATAGATGGTGCCCTATGGTACTTAACGCTCACCGCCCCGTTTTTTCCTATGTCGTACAACAATGTTGCTTATCCAATCATGATTGTGGAGAAAAACACCACCAGCCAGCCAAACGAATCATCCGCTACTTGAGAGGCACGATGCACCTTGCCCTGCAAATTTAACGCTTCTCCGACGATGATCTCGTGACCTTTTCTGGTGGCGATCGGGCAGGGTGTCCAGACACGCGCAAATCTGTGTCTGGTTTGTACATCTTCTTGGACAACAACGGAACATTGTTTCGCGGTCGAGCCATCGTCACTAACTCTATGGTGTAATCCTCTGGCTGCACAACTCCCACCACACTCTGGCATCTCATACAATGAGCGACTATCGTCTTCTACGACAACATAGCAGCGATGTGGCTCTCGAGCAACCCCGTCCCGCACCAACACATCAAACATGTCGAAACCGACCTCCACTTCGTCTGCGACCGGGGTCTCTGTTTTGGCAAGGTGCGTGCCATGCACATCTCGGTGAGCTCTCGGTGCGCGGATATCTTCGCCAAGGGCTAGCTGACGGCGACCTTCGACTACTTCCGAGCCAGCCTCAAAGTCCGTGCGCGCGTCGATGTGACGACGGCGGGCTGTCAGAACGGCCACCTCGACCCCTCTGGACGTCGTCATCCGAGTCAGGCGCTCTGGATCTCGTCGGAGGCCCGCCGGTTGAGCCCCCACCACGGTGGAACACGGCGCCGGCACATTGTATCCGCACATCATCCATCCTCCACATGTCCCTCTCCCGGTCGGTACCCACACACGGCACATGACCGCGCCGTGAGACGGGCCCGAGCGCACGACCCGCGGCCGGCTCCCTGCCGTCTGCTGCACTCGCGTCGCAGTCTCCAGTGGCCCCCGCCCCCGCTGCCGCCCGCCGCCCGCTGAACTTTACTCGCGTCGTGCTAAACCCGGCGGTTTCGTCGGGTAAACATCCCGGAAACCCGGCCCAAAGCCCCCAGCGGAGGTCACCCCCACAGCACCGCGTTTTCGCAGTCTCCCCCCTCGGAAACATCTGTGCCCGCTCGCCCGCTCGCTTACCCAGCAAGCTTTCCCCACCTTCCCCCGCCCCGTCCCCTCCTCCTGGCGGTGGCGACGCGATCACGACACGGAGACTTTCTGTCACCCCTCCCCGCCGATCACCGTCGCTCCACGCGCCCTGCAGCCAGCCAGATAAAAGCCTGGGGGTGGGGAGACTCGGAGCCCCTGGCCGAGCAGGGGGTTGCGAGTCGCGGAGATGAAGAACCTGTTCAAGAGCAAGATCAAGTGGCAGCACCGGTCCAACGACCCCGCCTCCTCGTCGCAGCCGCAGTCGTCGGCGACCCCGCCGGCGAGCTCCCCGTCGGGGACGGCTCCGGCGCCCGCGTTGTCCTCCGCCGCGGCGACGCCGACGGCCTCCGCCCCGTCCCCTTCCGCCCCGGTGGCGACGACGCCCATGGCGGGGGTTGGTGGTGGAGGGGGAGGCGCAGCGGGCGGGGACGACTACATGTACTCGGAGGAGGAGTTCCAGATGCAGCTGGCCATGGCGCTGTCGGCGTCCAACAGCGACTGCGCGGGGGACCGGGACAGGGACCAGATCAGGGACGCCAAGCTCATGAGCCTCGGCGGGGGCGACCGCTTCGCCGCCGGCCGGGACGACGGCCACACCGCCGACTCGCTCTCCCGCCGATACTGGGTGAGGCTCCACTCCTCACACCGGCGAATTCCATTTGAGCTGAGATGGAATGCTGAACCGCACAGTTCTCTAATGAGATAGTAGTACTATTAGGTTGCAGTTGCTTAATTACGCCAGTTTTCAGAATTGACACACTTAATGTGGAGCAAGACTCATGATTCAAACAAATGTCTAGCCAGATTCCGGTGGTGCTACTTGCTTGCTAGTTCACCTCCACCATTTACCATTTCAACCCACGATACTACTAAGTTTATCTATCATTGTTCAAATTAGTAAAGTTTTTTTAGTTGGAATATAAGTAAAGTTTTTCTGTTCATATCACTATATTCACATTTAAAATAGGTCAATGGGGGTTGTTGGATAGTAGTGGGCAGTAGCTAGATCTGGATAATTCGCAAAAAGAAAGAAGAAGAGTAGCTAGATCTGGTTTGCTGGCAAGCTTCACCTGGGTCCACAGTCAAAATCACATAAGAGGAGAGGTGCTACAAGCTACTGCAGAAGTAGAAAACACTAAGATGGCAATAGGGATCGGTGCTTGTGGTAGCAACAACAGGCTTGCTCGACCACATCAAAGCTATAGATATGCTATTTGTTACTGCTTCCTATTTATAGAGAGAAGACAGATATTGCTGTTCTTTCCTGATGCAATTCAGCTTACATGCTCAACATTCAACAAAATGTGATGTCCGTTTGTTATATACATTTGTAAAAAATATTCGCTGCTGGATCGCATCTAGCTGTTTTTCTACGTGCTGTTTTGATGCCATTCACATACTTAGTGTGCCAGATACTATTCACTGCTGCTTTGTTGTTGTAGCTATTCTCCTTGGCTAGGCAAATATCTGCGTCTTTTCCTCTTTGATTTATTAATTAATCTCAAATTCTCTGTGAGTAACTCCGCCTATGTCTTCTAGGCATAGCCGGTCCCAAGCCCGGGTAAAGGAGGAGGGTTGTGATAGGCTTGGCGAGCCAACGTAAAAACTAGCCAATCCCATAGGTATGAAACCCATTTGAGCGAGAATAGTACTAGGATGGGTGACCTCCTAGGAAGTCCTCGTGAAAGGGTTTCATATCTAAGTGTTGTGATAGGCTTGGCGAGCCAACGTAAAAACTAGCCAGTCTTTTGGGTATGAAACCCATTTGGGCGAGAGTAGTACTAGGATGGGTGACCTCCTGGGAAGTCCTCGTGAAAGGGTTTCATATCTAGCCTACCCCAACTTGTTTGGGATAAAAGGCTTCGTAAGCAAGCTCAAATTCTCTGTGAGTGTATTTACAAATGTGCTCCATTCTGATTTCCAGGACTACAACTGCCTCGATTATCATGAGAAAGTTGTCGATGGTTTCTACGACATATTTGACCCCTCCATGGAGTCCTCTAGGCAGGGGAAGATGCCATCACTAGAAGACCTTCAAACAGGCATTGGGGACCTGGGCTTTGAAGTCATCGTAATCAACCGTGCAGTTGATACTGCCTTGCAGGAGATGGAGCAAGTGGCGCAATGCATCTTGTTGGACTTCCCTGTTGCAAACATTACACTCCTAGTGCAAAGGATAGCTGATCTTGTTACAGATAATCTAGGTGGACCTGTGAAAGATGCAAATGCTATGCTTGCAAGGTGGTTGGAGACAAGTACTCAGCTGAGAACCTCACTACATACTAGCTTGCTGCCAATTGGCTGCATTAAATTAGGGTTGTCTCGTCACCGTGCCCTACTTTTCAAGGTCAGCTCCCCTCCCTCTCTATGTGTGTATGTCGGGTAGTGCATGTGTAGTGCCCCTGTTGTTCCCTCAGAATTGTAGAATATCTCTCACTCGGCTGAAAACGGAGCGGAAGCGACAGAACTGAGTGCCGCCACATTTGATTTCGTATTTCTTAGCAGAAGCGGAAACCAATACGGAAATTCTGGAGATGATTACGGAAGCAGATATTGCCGGAAACGAATACAGAGCAAATACGATGCGGACACGATACAAAAGCGAAAGTTTGAAAGAACTCGAAAACCTCTTGGACCATACAAAAAAACACAACCAAACCGACAAACTTGTTAGGTTATGCGCCAAAGAAGAGGCAACAAGGTTTGACGGTGAGCAGGCGTGGAGGATGGGAGTGGCGGCGTGTAATCAGAGGGACGACGATTACAGGAGTAGTGGATGATTAGTTTTTGGTGGATATGATTTGGTTGGGCCAAAAATGTATATGGGCTGGGGCCCATATAGACTAAAGATAAACGCATATTTTCGCATGTGCGGATACAGAAATTCTGTTTATGCGGGAGTTATGCCGGAACATGCTGTTCCGTTTCTGTTTCAGCTGCTGCTGTGTAAATTTCCATTTCCATTTCCATTTTTGTGCTTTGTTTCCATTTGTTTACGGAATGGACGGGAAGTTTCTGCTCCATTTTCATCCCTCTGCCAGTCTTATTTATACCAGGCAGACCTTTGAAAAGTGCAGTTTTATCAATCTTTAACCAGTTCCTGGTCCATGGCTTGGATAAATATATTAAGCCCATACCGATAGCCACCCTGATCAGAATGGTAAAACCTAATGCCAATGGACTCACTCACCCACGAAGTTAACCTTGAACCTATGTGTACATTTATTTCACTGTTTGTTGACCGAAGTTAAGTTTAAACACTATCCTCACTCCATTTCCATCTATTTATCATTGTCAAACCTGGAACTGGGCAACCAATAAATTATATAGACCCCAGGCGGCATCTGCAGCCAGCATTACACAGCTTGACACCAGCACCGGACATGGATAGAGGTGCCTGGGCCTAACATGTGGCTGTGGCGGAATAGACGGTATTAAAAGAAACATCTAAGAGATAGTATGATGGTTCCACCGGGCTTTGGTTTGGACAACTTCCATACTTGAACTCTTTTGGTTATTAGATGTGTGCACTCTAGATAATATCAGTATAAATTTGTTCTCTGTCTAATTTAGGACGTCTTGCTTTAAAAATTAAAATTAGCCAGCATTTTTGCCTGGTATAGAAAGGAGGATCAATCTTCACCTAAAATACTTCCTTCGTTGTTTGACATGTTTAGTTATTTAATAATCACTACATGCCACGTGCTTACCTATGTTATATCTTGTGAAAGAAGTATCTTTGTAGCTTGTTACAAGATTGACTGATGTCACCATGTCTGTGGAAGCATACCAAAAATTTATTGATGTAGTTGGCCATTTGAGTGGGTTATTATGTGTTTACATGTGTTTCTTCATGAGCCTTATCAGACAGCAGAGAGCAACATGTTGGTACTGTATTCATTACTAATTGTTGAATTTCCTTTTTCTGTATAAAAATAAACTGGCAGTGCTTAAGAGTCAAGAGCAGATGCAGAAAAACCCAAATATATTGAAGATAGCACTAGATCTGTTCATTTGCCTAACATACATAGCATTCTTATAGCTCATGTGGCTCTTTGTGCAGATTCTTGCTGATAGTGTTGGCATTCCATGCAAACTTGTCAAAGGGAGTAATTACACTGGTGATGAGGATGATGCTGTTAACATAATAAAGGTGGACAAAGAAAGGTATGGACAAGATTGCGCATTGTGATTTGTTCACATCATAGTAATTTCTCAGGGAAACACAATCCAAGTGCATTGTTCATCTGCTACAACTATTGCCGATATATTTTAATTCATTTGTTTTCTCAAATTTGCTAAATAGTTTTTGTGCTGCAACCTGCAGGGAGTTTTTGGTAGATCTGATGGCTGCTCCTGGTGCTCTTATTCCAGCAGATGTCTTAAGTTGGAAGGGCAGTTCGTCAAATTCTAACCATAAACTTGGCCAGAAATCTGGACTGAATCAAATGGCTGGGTCATCAAGTACCATTTATCCTACTCTGGGTGCCAATGCATTGCCACTTGAACATAAAGGTAACCAGCTACCTTTGTTAAACAGCGGTGATTGGATATCGGCCAGTCAATCTGGATACGAGAAAGAGGCGGCCATAACACATTCACAAACCTCTTCCAGTGGTACACCATCTGTTACTGCTGCAGATGTTTTTGATGGTTCTTGGACATTAGTTCCTCATGCGCAATCGGACGAGCCGTCTACTTCTGCTGGTACATCGTCACAGCATAAAGTTGTACCCCCAGGTGGAGAACATCCTGGGGCCGGGAATATAAAACTAAGCCCAGGTCACCAGGAAAATACAGAGTCCAATAACCTATTTGCTGAGCTTAATCCTTTTGGGCGTATTGAGCCAAAGAAAGCTTCAGTACCATTCAACGGGCCAGATAATAGAAACAACGAGTTACAAAGGCGTAGAGAAAATGTAGTCCCTAGCACTGGAAGGCCACAGCAAAGATTGGTTATGAAAAACTGGTCCCCTTACAATGATGTTTCCAACAACAAGCAGTACAACTATGTTCAGGACTCATTTGCACGTAGAAATGTTGGTGATAATGTTGTATCATCGCCGCAGGTGCCACGATCTGCTGCAAATAATATTAATCTTAATATTGGAGCACGCAATGATGGATCACATGCAGTGTCAGCTCACAATAATGACAGTTTTATGGCTGGTTCCTCTGCCATGAAGATGCCTTCTGTAGCTGAGATTGGGAAGGCTGCTGAAATGGCTATGCGTGGTGATTTGAGCAAAGGTCCTACAGGTTCTAGACTGGAGGATCAACCACCATTTGGAAGACACAAATGGGGTGATTCTACTGAACGAAGGGTTCCGACTAATTCAGTTCAGAACCAAGCAAAAGAACGTGAAACTAACTTCGACGGAAAGCAAGACCATAAGAAGTTGCCTCCTGATCCAAAGAAATCTCCACTTGACAGATTCATGGACGTGTCGATGCCATCAAGAAATTCAGAATCTGTTTCACCATCCTCTGCCAGGTCACACAGGCTTGATTGCGTGTTCGATGATGTTTCTGAATGTGAAATTCTCTGGGAAGATCTTGTGATTGGTGAACGGATTGGCTTAGGTATTTCTTTGCAACCAAGTTTTGATGTGTTCCTTGCTGCCCTTTGCACTAACAAGTTGAACTGACACTCTCAGGTTTAGGGAGAAATATTTATATATTTATATTATACTTGTCATACACTGTCAAATTGTTAGTGTGGCTCAGTTATGTACTTCTAATCTTTGCGCTATTAAGAGCCAATTTGTTGCGAACTTGCATCTTTGTAGTTCTCCATGAGAAATAATTGAATGAATTGCTTCCTCCATCCAATAGGTTCATATGGTGAGGTATACCGTGCTGATTGGAATGGAACAGTAAGCAGTTATTTCCCTTTCTTTCTATATCTTGAGATTGGCCCTTTTTACAGGATATTACATGCATGAAATGGTCGACATGATTAGAGACCAAATCATGGACCATCTTCACTTTTAACTTCTTAAGTTGGTTCTGTCAGCGCACTGAACTTTCTGTTAATTTGCAGGAAGTAGCTGTGAAGAAATTCTTGGATCAAGATTTCTATGGCGATGCTTTGGATGAATTTCGAAGTGAAGTAGGTGAAATTATACGTTTTTTTTCTAAGAGTACTCAGTGTATACTATATATTCTGGTTTAGTTCATTCTTGATGCACTTCTTTTTGTAATTGCATATATTCTCTTTGCAAGGTGCGGATTATGCGTCGACTGCGTCATCCAAATATCGTTCTCTTTATGGGTGCTGTTACACGCCCTCCAAACTTATCTATTGTATCTGAGTATCTTCCAAGGTATACCAGTTTTGTATCTATCTTATTTTATGCGTATCTTGGTATAATCTCATGCTTTTCCTGAATTACAACTTAGAAGCAGGGGTGGAGCTAGCTCCTGACCCGGGCAGCTGCCTGGGCTGCTCTGGCTAGTCTCCCTTAAATATTGTTGTTATCTAGGGCATTAGTAGTGATGTTATTGGGGCCAATGGTTGCCAGCGTTCCAGTGAGTAGACCTTGCCCGGGCTCCTTGGGTAGGCTTGCTACGCCACTGCTTAGAAGTATCTGGGTACAGATATCATTGAAGAAATTCCTACATGAGAAGTTCCTTTGAACACCTAGCTTTGAATTGGCACCTAATACTGAAGGTGCTACATGCTACTTTGTTGAGAAAATACTTCTGTTAGTTGGATTCATAAAATCTGATGAACAGGGTTTACTGGAGGTGGCATATGGCTCTAGCATAATGTCATGTAACTTGTGTTCCAGTCTTAAGCAAGTCTAGAATGGATTTATTGGTTCAACTTTGATGGCCCATCCTTGATTTCATTGTTATTTCATTGCTTAGGGGAAGTTTATATAAGATCCTTCACCGTCCTGGCTGCCAAATTGACGAGAAGCGTAGGATTAAGATGGCCATTGATGTGGTATGGAAAAATCTTCCATAATTTTTTGCCATTTTTGTTTATTTGCCCCTGCTTATGTAGATGACTGTTTTCTCATTAGGCCAAGGGCATGAATTGCCTGCACACTAGTGTACCAACAATTGTTCACCGGGATCTTAAATCACCTAACTTGCTGGTCGACAATAATTGGAATGTCAAGGTGTGTTTCCTTTTTGCATTTTAACTATTAGAACCTGATGGCTCGTAGTCATATTAATGTTGGGTTTGGTCTGTTGGTTCACCAATGATATGAGGCAGGTTTGTGATTTTGGACTTTCACGCTTGAAGCACAGCACATTTTTATCATCCAAATCAACTGCTGGAACTGTAAGTAATTAGCACCTCTAATCTGTACTATTACGGGGCGATTTTCAGTTTCTTTAGTCACACTGAATACTTACTACTTGTTTTTAATCTAAAATTTTATTCCACCAGCCTGAGTGGATGGCACCTGAGGTCTTGCGGAATGAGCAGTCAAATGAAAAGTGAGTGATTCTTGATGCATTTCATTCTAACGTTTTCTTCATGTCCTTGCAAGTCTCGTTTACTTATCCATTCAGAATAGTTCATGTGAAAGAGAGATCTTCCCATTTGAATTGTGGTGTTTCCATTTTTCAAGCAAGGAGGGTAATCCTTGCTTTATATGTTAAGAGCATAAACAAAGTAACATTACCCAGAAAATAACGAGAGCTGTCAATTGGCTCTGGTGCCGTTTAGTGTTTACAGAGCAGTATCGTAGACACCACACCAACATTGACATGAAAATAATACTGGATAACAGATCTAACACTATTTTGGTACCAGGTGGCAAACCTGGTAAGCTGTAAAAACACACACTGTATGTTGGTATATAACGACTATGTGCGTATGTGACTATCCTTCAAAGGCATGTTCTCAGTTTTGACTCCTAGAGTTGTGATGGGATACAATACTGCTCCTATACTTTAGAAGGACCATTAGTCCTTCAGCTTGTTTCCTTCATCTTCTTTTCCTTTTCTTTTTTCCTCAAGTGGTGTGGCATCTTAGTTAATCTTACTCAACCATTACTGGAATGCAGGTGCGATGTCTACAGCTTTGGCGTCATCTTGTGGGAGCTGGCAACACTAAGAATGCCGTGGGGTGGGATGAACCCGATGCAAGTCGTGGGAGCGGTTGGCTTCCAGGACCGAAGGCTTGATATCCCCAAGGAAATCGATCCTCTAGTCGCTAGGATCATATGGGAGTGCTGGCAGAAGTAAGTCTCTAAGTTTCCAGAGCACTCTTTTCTCATGTCCTCCTGTTTAGGTCTTGACAACTCAGAAATATGTCGCTGATGCTACTGTTTTCTGGTTTATGGATCCCAGGGATCCGAATCTGCGCCCTTCATTTGCGCAGTTAACAACTGCTCTGAAGACGGTCCAAAGGCTTGTCGGCCCCTCTCCTCCGGAGACGCAGAGCCCCCCTGTGCCCCAAGAGATCTGGGTGAACTCCTCTACCCCATGACAGAGGAGAGTTATCGAGGAATTCGTTCGTTGCTGCGGCCTGCAAATGTGAGCGCGTTGTGTATAGTTTGAGCGCCCCAGCCCAGATGTGGTAGGCATGTCCTGCTGCCGCAGCAACGGTCCAGTGGCAGCCATAGAGTATTTACTTACTTACAGAGTCGCCCATGAGGCAACGGTCGGCAGAAGAGAAGAGACCCGCGTTTCGTCTTTCCCGTTGCGTGTGACAACCGGGTGTGAGCCCTCCTCCAGGAAGCTGGTGGATCAGTTAAATTAGTATGTACTCCCTCTGTTACGAAACATATGACGTTTAAGCAATTCAATTTGAACTGCTTAAACGTCATATATTTCATAACAGAGGGAGTAGTATATCTGGCTGTGCTTACTAGTGGATCAGTTAAATTAGTCGCAATGTGCTTGTAAAAGATATAGTACACCTGTTCTGTTCATGTTGCTGTCTCAGGCTGTCGTCCACCGGCACTGACTGTTATACATCCGTTAGCTTCTGCAGCCCTGAATAACAGGAGACGCCACCATGCATGTTGGACGAAGCCATCGCCGTCAACGCCTTGAGCAAAACCCTCTTGCAGCTTACTTGCAGGTTTGTGCGAGCGATCAGCTGAGGACCGGCGTTTGGTTTACTTGTGGCATCATACATCATGCTTTAACATGGTGTGCTCGAAGAACTGGTGCCTATTTTCATCTCTAACGGCGGCTATAACCTGCGTTAAGAGATTTGGGCCTCACACATGTGCAACCCTATAACCCGGGAAGATGCTGGCGGTTCCCAGTGCGTTCCCGCTCGTCATTGTTAATCCTGCTAGCCGTGTGCTACATGCAGGGTCGCACCACAAGAGGTCCGAGCCCGTCGGCCGCCGACCTTTACCCCTGCCCACGACTCCATTGCCGTAAACATCTTTTTTTAGAAGCCATTGCCGTAAACTTTTGTTTAGAAGCCATTGGCATTGCCGCAAACTCGATCTACGGAGTTCACCCCCTCCCCTCCTCTTAAGTCTTGCGTTGCCGCCGTCCAAAGATGAAAATAGGCAAATTTCGCTGTCGGTCCATGCTACCGGAATCAGCTACGGCCCAAGTAAACCGGCCTTATTCAACTACGGCCCAAGTAAACCGGCCAGAGCCTCTCGAAACAACGAACGAAGCAGAGAGCTGCGTAGCGCTCTCTCGTTTAGTCCCACCTCGCCCAGCCAAGGCAGAGGGGGGTCGAAGGCGCGCTATATAAGCAGCCCACGGCTGCAGGGAGAAGCATACCTTTCTCGGCCTTTTGGCTAAGATCAAGTGTAGTATCTGTTCTTATCAGTTTAATATCTGATATGTGGGCCATGGGTCTACAATGATATTAAATTTATTTTTTATGGGGGAGGGCCCACCACAGTAGCTTGCTATTGGGGTCCTTGTGTGTCGCCCAGCCGTTGCACTGCTGGCTGGGCCTGGCGCGCCCCAACCAAAACGAATTGAAAATTTGTTCCTTTGGGCCTGACTGCTTTCTTCAGAATTGAGCACTGTTGGAAGCCTGTTTTCGGAAGTAACAGTTTAATCATACGATTGATATATATAAAAATCATACAATTAATACTTCTATAAGATGCGACCCTACATGCGTTTGTGTGGCCCAAATCTGTCAACGCAAGGTATTAATTTATGCTTCGTGCCAAATAATTCTGCTTCTAATCTTCAGAAACTAGCTTCACATACATGAGCATTATCAAGCTCATCATGATTACTACTTATAAATCGTGTGTTTGTTCTACTACACACCATTAATCCTTTCAATCTTCTGAAACTAATGCAGGGGTTTGGATAACAAACTACTACTTTCGGTTTAAACATTTTTCTGAATTTATTTCCTACTATTTGCGTCTTAGAAATGTGCAATCTTCGACAACAAATGCCAATATTGGATATAGGATGATCACTACTACTTTAAAGCATTTATTTGGCCAACAAACTAAACTAATGCAGGAGCTGGATAATGAACCAAAAATGTGTCGTTAGGGAAACAAATAGAAATAGATAAATAATTAGTCTGAGAAGAACAGATAAGTGTGGAACACCCGATCTTCACATACATGCATATCTAATCTCCATCGTACTATGCCGCAAATGAAAAATATCCATCACACAATCTTTCTAGTCCTATAAATACACGTCCACATAAACCAAGACCCATTCAAAGTGTTCGCCATGGCTTGCAAGACCACAGTCGTTGTTGCTATCGCATGTAGCTTTATGTTGGCACTCCTTGTGTCTTCTGGTAAGGAGATGAGATGTGTTGCAAACTTGTTCTATGAAGCTTCAAGATAATGATCCTTCCATACATTGCTTCTTGTTTTGACAATACCATGAGATAACTTTTGTATCTTACTCTATTTATTTATATGGATGCAGCTCTAGGGGACTGCAAGGGCCATGCTATTAAAGTAGAATGCAACAACAATGATTCATGCATTAAGTGGTGCCATTACTTCGGAATCCCTCGTGGGCATTGTCATATTCATAGTGGTGGAGGCTATTGTGTGTGTGATGTTTGTGACTAGTTAGTTTGTACCAGCAAGTTTCTCAAAATAAATAAATAAGGTGCATCTATCCAACATATCGTTAGCATCTATGATGTCTCTAAAAAGAACCATTTGATGGAAAGAGAAAAAAAATACTCCAACACATCAGTTACTGTACATCTAAAAAATGTGTCGCTAGTTTCCCCAGTTGGTTGTTGCATATCCCTAAAAACTCCACCACACAACCTTTTAGGCCTATACAGTTTCCTCTAGTCAGCACCATAGAAATTTTCTTCCAATCTTCAACATCTAAAGCCGATCTTAGATGTAAATGAACGATCTGAGCTAAATCTAATGTTATTATAAATAAATCATCTGTTTGCTAGTGTACTCATCATAAAAAATTAATCTCAACAACTAATGAAGGAGCTGGATACTAAACTGAAATATTTTGTGTTCGAAACAAATAGAAATAGATAAATAATTAATATGGACAAGTAGGCGTGAAACCTCCAGTATTGACCAAAATGCATACTCCATCATACGTCACTAAGAAAAAAATATTTCTAGCCCTATAAATACATGTCTAGAAAAACCATTGTCATTGTCTCCATCACATCTATCTTTGTGCACTAGTAGAAAACGGGCCTTTAGTACCGGTTCGTAAGGCCCTTTAATGTCGGTTCTGAAACCGGCACTAAATGGTGGAGACTAAAGCCTCCCCCCTTTAGTCCCGGTTCAACACGAACCGGGGCCAAAGACCCACCACGTGGCACGAGCCCGCGCCGTGGTCTGGGGGACTTTTAGTCCCGGTTGGTAATTTTGAATTTTTTGAAAAAAAATGATTATGAATTTTTTTTTCCAATTTTCAATTTCCTGAATTATTTGACGATTTAGTCTCTAATCACGCCTCATAACTGCTCAAGTGTGGATCACTCATTCCAAACCGTCTAACTTTCCGGCCGGTCACCCACCCTCTCACTACTCCAGCCTGAGCATGCTTAACTTTCAAGTTCTATTCCCCCTAGTTTCCAAGCCAGCACTTATTGTTTTGCTGACAATAGTAAGTTGTCAATCCTATTAACCCTCAGGAGTTTAGTTTGAGCATGAAGTCACACATTTCACCGTTTGAGTTTGAAGCTATTATTCTAAAAAACAGTAATTATTTAGTAACACTAATATTTCTTGAATAAGTAGTTTGACCATAATTTGACCAGATTTGACCAAAATTCAAAAAAACTGAAATAAATATTTAGTATCACTAATATTCTTGAATAATTATTTAGTAACACTAATATTTCTTGAATAAGTAGTTTGACCAGATTTAACCAAAATTCACAAAAAGGAAATTTGAGTATATCTTTTTTTCCTTTTAGAATTTGATGATTCTAAAAGTTTGCAAAATGGCCTACAACCATCAAAATCGTATGCCGGCTTTCGTGTTGAACATTTTGATATATTATACGTTTTTTTCGACATTGTACGCAAAAGATATAGTCGTTTTACTTTTTCATCACGCTTTTTTGCAAAACATGTCGAAACTTACATTTTTAAATTTACATAACTACTAGATGTAGTAACATAACTACATTTCGAAGGATTTTAATTTTTGAAGTTTTTATCATTTTCTTTTATTTCTTTTTCAAAACTGAAAAGTCGATGAGGGGTGTAGAGTTTGAAAATTGCTCTTTAGTCCCGGTTTGTGTCTCCAACTGGGACTAAAGATTAGACCCCTTTAGTCCCGGTTTGTGACACAAACCGGGACTATAGGTTAGCCCTTTAGTCCCGGTTTGTGACACAAACCGGGACAAAAGGGGCTCATGGGGCCCCGGCCTGACGCCAGCCTGCCACCACCCTTTTAGTACCGGTTCGTGACACGAACCGGTACTAAAGGTTCAACACGAACCGGGACTAATGCATAGCCGTTCGAACTGGGACTAATGGTACCATTAGTACCGGGCCAAAATCGAACCGGGACTAATGTGTTTCACGTAAGGTCGTTTTTCTACTAGTGGTATTTGGCACTCTTCATGTCCTGTGGTAAGGAGAGGAGAGTGTTGCTAACTTGATTTTATGAAGCTTTAGGATAAAGAACCCATCTTAGTCTATTTACGTAGGTATAGTTCAAGGCAGGTGTAAGGAATACCCACTAAAATGGCATGCAGTGACTCTACTAATTGCTTTCGGAGCCTGAGCTTATATACTCTCACATGGACAGTAAATTCGAAAAAGATAGCAACTTTTTTTAAAAAAATCATAAATATTTTGACACGAAAGATGCTCGAATGATCTAGGTGCGTGCAAAACTTTGTGAAGAAATGACATACTTGGTGCTTGATTAGCTCGATCCTGATTGGATTGACATTGTAGTAAAGGACCTTCTTCTCTAGAGACCTATGTTTTATCAAACCAGAAAGTGATGGTGCACGCCGACGGGCAGTTCCATCAAGTATCTATTATCACGTAATATTCTTGTTCCCTGGACCAG